GTCATTCAAAATCCATTCCCCTGATAACAACCACCAGAAGCCTTCTTTGGCTTTGTTGCTCTTGCCCCTTCCAGTACACTGTTTACAAAGCTTTCTCCCAACTTCATTAGCAAGTCCTGTTTCATAATACTCTCTTCCCTCACACACAAGGAAATAAATGGCAGCCTTTGCAGTCAGTCAGTCGGTACTGATGGATACATCCTCTTTTTCGTGGTTGAAGCACCCCTGCTTAATATCTTGAAGAGATATTCTTCTTAGAATAAGTTTAAAAAGCTGAAGATGGTCTGCTCAGACATAAAAGAGCCTATGGGTTCAGCGCATAATTTTATTTCGAACCTTCTAAAGAAAGTCCATGCCAGCTTCCAGATGAGTGTCAACTTGCACTCGGTGCTCTTAAGTAGACAGGACAAACATTTGGAGTCACAGTGAAATTGGTCACCTGCAACCTACTACTTCTTTACCATTAAATCAATAACACTACAACCTACTACTTCTTTACCATTAAATCAATGGAACAGAAAGTACTGCAAAACTAGATTTACCCAGACATTAGTAAAAGAGCCAAGAAAAATGACACCAAAAAAGGGACGTTCAGCCCTAGCAGGTTTGGCACAGTGGAGAGAGCATCAGCCTGCTAGCTGAAGGGTCCCAGGTTCAATTCCAGTCAGGGACATATGCCCCAGTTATGAGCTCGATCCCCAATGCGGGAGTGCAGGAGGCAGCCAATCAATGATTCTCTCTCATCATTAATGTTTCTATCTCTCTCTCCCTTTTCTTCCCTGAAATCAATAAAATAAAAAAATTGAAAAAAATTTAAAAGGGACATTCATCCAGGCTTTATAAATTAAGCTGAGAGATACCGAGATAAAAAGTAAATGACATGTTTATTTCTTATTTTTAAAAAGACGTACAGATTTGAGAAGTGATTTCCTTAAGAATGTTGTCTGGGTTACTAGTCCAGATAATAAATCACACTATACCCTGAAGCCTACTTAATAAAAAATAAAAAAAAACAATAAAAAAAAGTTAAGAATAAACAAATGATTAGTTTGAGGCATGTGAATTTCTGAACTCTCTTAAGGGAGAAAGTTTTATTACCATTATTAGGGAACTGTTTTTAATCTCTGACATCAAAGCATAGATGTTAACCCTGGGGTTCTGAAACCAGAATAACCCATAAATAAAATACTGTGAGAAACTGCCACAGATTAATTTCAGTCTGTCTGTCCATTTTTAGCCAATTCACAGGTGACTCCATGAATAAACAGAGGTATGGGAGAGGAAATAGGAGAATAAGAAGACCAAAGTTCAAGTTCAATTTCACCACTTATAGATAATACTAGAGGCCCAGTGCACGACATTTGTACGCTTGGAGGGGAGGGGCATGTTCCCTCAGCCCAGCCTGCACCCTCTCATAGCCCCAGTCCCCCCAGGGATGTCCAACTGGGGTTCCTTTGTGCTGCCATGGAGGCAGAAGAGGCTCCCACCACTGCCACTGTCCTCGCCAGCCATGAGCCCAGCTTCTGGCTGAGCAACACTCCTCCTGTGGGAGCACAATGACCACCAGGGGCAGCTCTGGCATTGAGCGTCTGCCCCCTGGTGGTCAGTGAATGTCATAGCAACCAGTTGTTCTGCCATTGGGTTGATTTGCATATTAGCCTTTTATCATATAGGAGGATTGAACAAACTGATCTAACTTGCCTGTCTCAGTTTACTTAACAGGGTCCAGGGATAAAACATGTAAAGTAATCCCTTGATAAGCCCAAAAGCAATGTTCTAATATTACAGCACTAATTCCAGAATGCCTGCATTTCTCAAACTTTTGGAGAGTCACAGAACTTTATGGCTGAAAGGTCACTGAATTCTAAGCCCAGAAGTTTGTCTTATACAGCCTTGGTCAGGGTCTAGTTTTAAACCACTAAACTACAAATTTAGGTAGCTCAAGACAAAACTAAGGACTAAAACTGCCCCCCCCCCATATAGCACATATGTACACGTACACAGACACACACACACACAATCCCCACCTTATGATGGTTCACCTTTTTTTTTTTTTTACTTTACGACGGAATGAAAGTGATACACATAATAAATAACATGAATTATTCAGCACTTTATTACATAATAGGCTTTATGTTAGATGGTTTTACCCAACCGGAGGCCAATATAAGTGTTCTAAGTGTGTATAAGGCAGGCCAGGCTAAGTTATGATACTCATGGTTCAGTAGATTAGGAGTATTAAATACATTTTAGACTTTTGATATTTTCAGTTTATGATGGATTTGTCAGGATATAACCCATTCTAAGTCGAGGAGCATCTATTTATCTGTATAAATCTGCTTTATTTTGCTTTTGTAAGCTTTACTCCTATAACTTAAAAGTTAAATTTCATCAGAAAGATAAAAAATAAAGCCAGTTCTCAGGCTATGAGATTCACTATTTTCAATCCAACCCAGACAAAACCTTAACAATTGGGTTAGAAGTGTCTAATGGAAATATCAACATAACATTAACCTCCAGCTACACTGGCAGGCATCATTATAATATGGATTACAGCGCTATCAACCCAGAGATACTGGTTTTAATGTTCCCTGGGAGATCAAGAATTAATCAGCAACTTCGAACGGGATGTTGCCTAAAAGTGTAAAATTTAATGGAGAGAATTCCATTGTTTTTAAAATTGTGCCCTCAATCGCCCAGTATCAAAAACCCAGTATGGCACCAAAGAAATTATGTGTGGTTAAGAGGTAGAATGTTGTTCTTTATTTTTTTTTTTTTTTCTACAAGCTGTTATGGGAAGCAGAAAAGGGCTGACTATGAATCAGTTATGTTTTAGTTCCACGGTGGACATAAATTATGATAATTTGGACATTCTTCTGGCGGTTAAACCAAAAAAAGCAGGAAAACCATCATTTCCAAGTCCCTGCAAAAGTTAAGTTTGTGGCAACTCAACTGAAAGGCAGGGCCATGGAAAGTGACCTTAAACTTATTTCTGGACCTTCCTGACGCCACTAACATGGATGACACTATTTCCCACCCCTTATTGTCAAATCACAACAGTCCGGAAGCCTGGACGGAGTTCACTTGGCAGGTAACAGGAGCAACCCCAGGAGGAAGTCCTGAAGGATGTCAGATACCATACTTCCTTTTCTCCTGCACACTTTTCATCTTCCTACCGCCAGGATATATTTACCAGGCGCTCTGACTGACACCACCAACCAGCAGGCGTTCTGACGGACACAAACTCTGCAGAAACTGGCTGGCTCTAGGGGAGGTCCCTGGGAGAGCCTTAAGCAGCTTAGATGAGTAAAACATTCAGAAGACTGCTCTAATGAGCATGTCTCAGTGGCTCGTAAATTCTTTCATTCCCAGCAATCAAGAAGCAGCTGTTAAAGCCCAGGAATCTTCCTAGGAGCAGATCTGAAATGCCTCCAAGCTGGCCAGAGAGGCCTCAGAACTTCTTTCTTCTGCTACCCCCACCCCCACTCCATCCCCATCACGGGAGTGCCAGCCTGGCAGGACTAAATATGACCCAGGAAGGAGAGAGAGAGCAGTCAATCTGGAGAAAGCAGAGATGCAGATTCCCTTCCCTTCCCTTCCTCTACAGAGAAACACCAACTCTCTGTACCCTTCCTGGAAACACAGGAGTAACTTCTGCAGCCTGGTGGGCTGGTATTTCCAGCGTGAGCAACCTCCCAGCAGCCCTGTCCTCCAAGGCTCTGAGCCAGGCACTTCCGTCCTGCGGCCGAGTTCGAAGCCCATCCCATGGGAAGGTTCGGCTCCTCTTTACCTTGCCATCCGCCCAGACAGCGCTGCAACGCGGCGGGTCAAGTTCAAGATGAAGGTGCCCTCCTAACCTTCCTGACTCTCACGGGGAGCAGCTCTCCCGAAAAGGACTCCCATCGCTCGGGCACAGGACCTGGGTTGCCCGGAGCGAGCTGGAGGGGGGAGACGGTGCCTTGAACCCGCATCTTCAGAGCCCCCCCAGCCGCGGCGCCGCATTCCTACCTGGCCACTGCCGCGTTTCCTCCCGGGGCCTCGCACAATGAGTCTCGTCCGAGTTAGGGACGCTCGGTCCGCAAACACAACAACACACAATGCCTGGGGCTTCCTCCCCGCCCGCCGATCCGATCCGGAAAAGCCCCCGCGCCAAAGCCCGCAGCCCCGCGCACCCCCAGCGCTGCGCGCCTGCACCCCCAAGTCCTCCAGGAAGAAGCTGCGCCCTCACATAGGTGCCCCCCAAAGGGACCGCTTCCCACGCTCCACAGAACAGGGGTGTTCACAATCCTGTCGTAATTCTAGTCTTCCTCAGCTCCTTAAGGTTCGATCCTACCTCGCTACATCCCCCCCCAAAAAAAAACAAAACAAAACACTGAATATACACATCGCAGTGTTCTTGGAAGCTGAGCAATAAATAGACTTTCAGCCCAATCTCGGGCGTTACGACCCTCCGCTCCGGTTGAAGTTCACCCCGCAACTCGGCGACTCGCGCTCCCCGACACGCCGGTGGCACCCCGGACCCCGCGGTGCCCGGCGCGCTTCCCCGCCGCCTCCGCTCCAGGTGCCAGGCGCAACCCAGGCCTGTGCCAAGCCCGGGGGCTACAGAGAAGGCGAGAAAGGGGTCGAAGAGGCCGGGGGGGGGGGGGGGGGGGGGGGGAGGGGAGTGTCCCGAAACCCGAGCGCTTCCAAACCCCAGCTCCGCCGCAGGCACCGCTGCCCGGCGCGGAGGGGATGGCGACGGGGAGGTGCAGCCTCTCCAGAGCCGCCGGCGCCAAGGCCCGGGGTGCCCAACATGCCCGTGCCCATCCCCGGAAAGCTCCGGGCTGTGCCCGGGGAAGGGGAAGGGGGGGGGGGGCGGGCGAGCTCCAGAAACTTTCCCACATGCCTCTTCCCTCTCCCCGAAGCCCTCTCTTCCTCCCGGGACCCTCTCCCTCCCTCCCCTCGCGCCGCGGCAGCTGGCCCGGCCCGGGCGCCGGGGCCCGCGGCGGCCGGGGAGTTACCTGCCGGGAAAGTTTCCAGCCTCGGCGCTCCCCCACCCCCGGGGCCGGGCCTCGGGGCGCGGTCGGCTCGGCGCTCGGCGGTCGCCCGTCCTCCGGCTTCCGAGGCTCCCGCTGCTCCCGCAGCTGCCACCGCGCAGGCTGCGGTCCCGCCCGCGCCCCCGCCCCGCGCGGCCCACCCCGGGGCCCCATTGGCAGCCCGAGGCCCCGCCCCGCGCGCGTTCCCGGAGGCACCTTCCTCTCGCGCGCCCTCCCACCCGCCCGGCCGCCCGGCCGCGCCTCCTCCCGCGCCCTCCCCGCCCTGCGCGGCTCCCGGGACCCGCCGCCGGGACCCGAGCGAGAACTTTGCGCCGGACGCGGCACCGCGCTCCCCGCCCCGCCGCTCCCGGCCGAGACCCTGGCTTTCCCCGGGGGCCTGGGGGCTAGTCCCCGGGGACTGAGCCTGGACCCCTCTGGGACCGGATGAAAATGAGGGATAGTCTTTTTCTCCACCCCCCGCCCCCATCTCTTTAAAACCAGAGAAGTGGCATGGCCTCCCCTCCTTGCTGCTGTTTTAAAAACAACCGAGGAGGACATATGGGAGCAATTAGCCAAGCTGGAGTTTTCTTAAATGCTTTAGGTGACTTGTGTGGCTGTCCTGAATTCATTCTCTCTCTTTTCTCTCTCTCTCTCTCTCTCTCTCTCTCTCTCTCTCTCTCTCTCTCTCTCTCTCTCTCTCTCTTCTTTTCCCCCCTCTCTCTTCCTCTCACTCCCTCCCCACACTTTCTGGGGCAAGAGAGAGCTACTGGAAACGGATGGTGAAAAGGGGCATCTCTCCTGCTGTGTCTTTTTCTTTCCTGAAAGCGCATTAGTGATGTTCAGGGAGCGGAGATTGCCTTGGCGTCCAGGGGGTCCCGGGGCCTGCAGCTTCCTCTGGCCGCTCCAGGCTCCAGGCTGGCCCTGTGCTGTCTGGGCTCCATAGCCCAAGGGCTTCAAAGGGGGGGGGGGGGGGTAATGCAACAGGAGCAACACAAAGATTCTATTATTGCTTCACTTGGTAGCAGTAAATTAAATTCCCGAGTTCCCAAAATGTTTTGTTATTCCCCAGCACAGCGAGAGCTGGGATAAGAGCCTATGGATTCAGAAGTCCTGGGTTCACAGGCTTCACCCTGGAATCCCAAGCAGCCATTTCAGGGGTGAGATGAGAGGTGGGGGGATGATCAGCCCACTCTGTATCCCTAACCCTTTAGACAGGCCTAGGCCAGGAAGGACCAACCGGGACTCCTGCTGCCTGGTGTGGCCTGCGGGCATTGTGCACGGGTCACCCTCTGGTGTGGCTGGAGCAAGGAATACAGAAGTTGCTGTAAATGGATTTATTGGCAACCTCTAACCTTGCTGTGGCAAACCTGCCTTTAAGGACAACTGTTTTAAACAAGTTCGCCCATAAAAACTTCAACCTCACGCAGAACTTTTCAGTATAAAGATATCTGGGAAGGGGAGTGCCCAAATTTAGAATTCTTATGAAAGGGGAGAGAAAGCAAAATGCCATACAATTGCTCTGCATAAATAAAAGATGACTGAAATTTGCTGGGTTTTTCACCCGTAGTTTCAAAGGCCTGAGGATTGCTAGGCTGATATTTGAGCAGTAAGCATTATCAGCAGCCTCAAACTCTTCCTTGTAGCAGAGCCAAATATGAATATTTAAAATAAAATGTAAACTTATTAAAGCAGAACAGCTATTGACTTATTCCTTCGCTCTGAAATGTCTCGCTGCTGAAAAACATGGTAATAGGTATTATCTAATTTCTCTTGAGATGAAATGCATAAAAGTTACCAACCTTTCAACAACAGATAAAAACGCTAGAGAGCAACCTTCCTGGTAAAAGAATGACGCAAACAACAACAAACAAACTCCACTTTGTTTAATCTGAAATATTAAGATATAAAAGAAACAATCCTAGAGAAATAAACTGCTACAATTCCCTCAGCATTCTTTATAATGGGTGAAATGTATAGTGGATGAAATTTATAATTTGTATCATGTTCTGTCTTTGGCTCTTCTAAGCTATATTCTTTAAGTTCTTTTTATGAAATTGCTTCCTTAACTTGGGCTTTGAAGACAATGAAATCTATCCCCTCCCCCTATCTCAGAGGTCCCTAAGTAGCAAGTAGAAAAACACATAATTACTGACATCTTTAGATTAGTTAAAAAAAATGTTGTCTTTATAGTTTCAGAAGTCACAGTCACTAAAGAAGTAATTTTATCACTGCGTAGTTAGGAGTGTTTAACATTCAAAACAGGCATGCAACTAGCAATCTGAAATTTGTACACAGAAGGGTTCTGTCTCCCTTTCTTTCTGTAGTGCTTATGTAATCCAAACTATTATACATATGTTGGTATGCACAATCTGATCCCCAGCTTTAAGTGGCTAACATTACATACAGTATGTCATCTAAGAACATCAAAGCTGTCTGAAGCTGTAACTATGAAAATGGTACATTTTAATAGAAAGCAAGGCCAAAGATGAGGAATAAAAATTCATGAGTAAGAGAAAAAGGGGGATACATTAAGATCAAGTCTGTAAAAAAATATTTAAATGTTTTCTAAGCATCTAGACATAGGGTGTAGCAAAAGTAAGCTTACAGTTGTTCATATGGGAAATAATACAATGATTACAAAATAATAATGATACTACTAGAATAAGCTTTGTTTTGAGTCCTCACAACTGTAAACCCACTTTTGCCCCACCCTGTGTGTGAAAGTAATAGCTGAGCACAGGTTCAAAAAATGAATTTTAGCCCTAGCTGGTTTGGCTAAGTGGATAGAGCATTGGCCTGTAGTCTGAAGGGTCCCAGGTTTGATTCCTGTCAAGGGCACCTGCCCAGGTTGCAGGCTCTATTCCCAGTAGGAGGCGTGCAGGAGGCAGCCATCAATGATTCTCTCTCATCATAGATGTTTCTATCTCTCCTCTCCCTTCCTCTCTGAAGTCAACCAAATTTTTTTTTTTAAAGAATCTTAATGCTTTTCCCTTTAAAAATATAAGATGCTTTTAGTTAGTTATTAGGTGACACTTTGTTTGAATTTTTAGGGAGAGAGGAAAGCAAGAGTTACTGCTTTTCTTAGGGTATTTCTGCTCATGCCAGTTTAAAAAGTTCACTCATTATATTGCTGTCGATTCCATGTGAAAAAAAAATATATTAAAAGAGCACTAGAAGCACATAACATTACATGTTGAACACATTCACCAAACATACATACAATATACTGGATTCCATTTTTAATTTCCTGTCAGTTTGCCAACAATGTACCATTTCTCAGCACAGTGAAAGAAAACTACAAATAATAAACTATTATTTTACTTCACAATTTACTGCCCAGGGCAATAGGCTGAGGAAGGCGTGAGAAATGAATGTGACTTGTGAGTGTTAAAATACTTTTTCCCTTGCTCAGATTCCAAAGTACTTCTATTTTAAATCAAGCCTAAGTTATGATCAGAGCCAGTGTTTATTATGGAATATGTAGTATAGAATGCATAGTGAGAAGTGAAATGTTTAAACAGCGTAGTAACTAAATACAAAACCTGAGATAGGACTTAAAAAAAAAAAAAAAAAAAAAAAAAAAAAAGGCAAGGTAGAAAATCCAGACTCAGAATAATCCAGCCCACAAATACTTCCCACCTACTTCAGAGCATCTTCTGATGTTTACAGAATTCATTCTGCTTTGGTCTATTCAATCTCCCTTTCTCTTTTAACATTTTGGAGAGAAAAAGAAATTTAAAGACAAAGGGGATAATAAATATTGGGTTATTTAGTAGGAGGTGTGCAGGAGGCAGCCATCAATGATTCTCTCTCATCATGGATGTTTCTATCTCTTCCTCTCCCTTCCTCTCTGAAGTCAATCAAATTATTATTTTTAAATAATCTTAATGCTTTTCCAGAAAAGCATTAAGTCAGAAATCAGTTGGGAAAAGCAATGGAAGTACATACTGCTGCTACACAGTCCCTGCATGTGTAATGATCCCTGGTCACACATGTATAATATGTATACCAACACCATGGTCAAAAGTGGAATAATGGCAGACCTCCCTCCAGAAATATCGAAAGCCACAGTTGTGCACAGTTAGCCAGGAAGTTAAATTAAAAGAGTCATCTAATGAGACATCTAAACCCCTCTGCAGGCCTAGCATATGGCCTGCCAGTATTGTAGAACTCATCCAATAGGGGTTGGATAGTGAATTATTTAAAACGATAAGGACTCTACTGAGGGAAGCAAGCAAGGAGATAGATTCAGGGGTTCACATTTCCTTATAAGAATGGAAGAGTATGCCGAAACTGGTTTGGCTCAGTGGTAGAGCGTCGGTCTGCGGACTGAAGGGTCCCAGGTTCTATTCCGGCCAGGGGCATGTACGTTGGTTGCGGGCACATCCCCGGTAGGGGGTGTGTAGGAGGCAGCTGGTCGATATTTCTCTCTCATTGATGTTTCTAACTCTCTATCTCTCTCCCTTCCTCTCTGTAAAACATCAATAAAATATTTTTTTTAAAAGAAAAGAAAGAAAGAAAGAAAGAAAAAGAAAAAAGAAAAGAAAGAGAATGGAAGAGTAGCTCTAGCTGGTTTGGCTCAGTGGATAGAGCGTTGGCCTGTGGACTAAAGGGTCTGGGATTTGATCCCAGTCAAGGGTACATACCTCGATCTTCATCGAAGATGGCATACCATCTGACTAGCAATTTAAATATAGATTTAATCCAATCTTCTGATGCTGAAATGGTTTAATAAGGGGAAATAGAAATTTATCATGTTCAGGAAGGGTGAAGAAATGCAATCAGGTGCTATTCCCTCCAATAAATGTTTAGTCTGGCTAAGATGATTTACAAGGAAGGTGCCATTTGCCTGACTGGTGTGGCTCAGTGGTTGAGCATCGACCTATGAACCTGGAGGTCACAGGTTGATTCCCCCGTCAGGGCATATGCCCAGGATGCAGGCTCCATCCCTAGTGTGGGACATGCAGGAGACAGCCAGTCAATTATTCTCTCTCATCATTGATGTTTCTATCTCTCTCTATCTCTCCCTTCATCTCTGAAATCAATAAAAAAAAAAATATGTGATTTTTTTAAAGAAATATGCTGTTTAGCCAAAACTGGTTTGGATCAGTGGAT